CAATTAACATGTTAAATAAAAAGAATCAAATTTCCCATTAAAAGGCAAGCGACTGTCATATTCAATCATTAAACTCCTATGTGTATACGCCCAAAATACCTATCACATTTGCACAAGGAGACATGTCTAAGAACATTCTATGTGGCACTGGTAATTAAGTGATCTACATAAACAACCTCCATGACCATCCAAAGAAACATGGATAAAATGGTATAAAATGGCCAGGCTCGGTGGCTCAGCCTGTAATCCCAGCACTTTGGGAGGCCGAAATGAGTGGAATGCCTGAGCCCGTGGGCGTGAGACCAGCCTGGACAACTTTACTGATGAGACCTCGTGTCTCTACAATAAATTAAAAATTAACTGGGCATGGTAGCATGTCTGTAGTTCCGGCTACTTGGAAGGTTGAGGCGGAAGGCTCGCTAGAGCCCAGTGGGTCGACGCTGGGGTGGCCGTGAGTATGCCATGGCACCCCAGCCTGGGCGACAATGTGAGACTCCAACTCAAAAAAAAAAAAAAAAGGTATAAAATGAAATAATACAAAGCAGTTAAAATCGATGAATTAAATCTGTGACTCAAGATGAATTCATCTCAAAGTACATTAAAATAATCTATTTGAAAGGAGCATAATCAGTACATCATCCATGTAAATTAAACTGTTTAGAATGTATCACATATTGCCACGTGTACATATATGTGTAGTAAAAGTATAAAAACATATTTGAAGATAAAATACAAACTTTAGAAGGATGTCATGTTTGGAAAGGGACTGGACTTCAGATGCATTTTTATAATGTTTTCTTATTTAAATAACAAAAAAAAGCAAACGTGTTAGGTCCACAGAGATCATCTATATGATTTTACTTTACATATTTTCAAGTAGCTCCAAGATTACAATTTAAAAGAAACACTGCAAAGGAGAGAAAGAGTAAGTTTGGATTTATGCCAAGCCAGAAGCATCTACCCAGCTATCAATTATCTTTTCAACATTACATTTTCAGTGCTCTGAGTATTTGAAAGAATTCTTTCACGCACCATTCACAACATATGGTTCTAACTGCAAGGGAAGAAACATACACAGATACTCCAAAAATAGTCTTGTTTGTAACCCATGATTTATCTTGATTGCTAAATAACATAAGAGTGTGGTTCTGACATTTGCTTTTTCCTATCCTAATAGTCAGGATACACTTGGTGGTGTGATCAGCCTTATGAACCACAGGAAAGAAGAGATGGGGAAGGAACCTTTTTTCACTCTGGCCTGAGCTGTGTGCAGGGGTGGGATGTTAAGGGCACATCATGGGAGCAGAGCACTTTCACGGAAAGGAATGTGTCATGTTCCCTGGGAACAACAGGGAGGCCAAAGAGGCTGGAAAAAAAAAAAAAAATCACTGCTCTGGAGCTGAGTCTTCCTCCTCAGTGATCTTGTTCCTGAGATCACTGAGGAACTGGACATGACACGGAGGAACTGGATCGCCAGGCAGAGGCAGGCTTGGGTCTGAAAGGGAGAAGGTGTTTCAGGGGAGGAAGCCCAGAAGGATGAAAAAGCCTGGTGCTGGCGGGGGCTTCGGCAGAGCTGTGCATAATGGACAGGCTAAGAAAGGCCGAGTGCTCTGCCGGAGGAAAGGAGCCAGCCAGGCTTTCAATTCAGTATCCCTGGGGTGTTCAAAGCCATGTGCCCTGTTCAACACTGACCCTGCTCCCCAGCAGCTGCTACAGAGTCCAAGGCCCCACAGGGACGCTCCCTTCTGGACTGTCACAAACCAGGCAATTAGATCCTCTCTGCCTGGGGTCCACAGGTCAGAGGCACAGCGTGAGAAGAGCAGACACATTAAAATGGCTACACGTCAGGACAGAACAGCTGCCTGATGCTCGGAGGAGTTGAAAGTGGCTTTGACGGCTCACTGGATGGGTCGGGGAAACTCTGACCAGCCCGGGGAAGTGGCTCAGAGTAAGGGGAAGCCACCCTTGCACACCACGTAGGCAGAGGTTCTCAGATTTAGGATTGGGGACAAGAGGAAAGACTTACGGATAGTCTGAAAACTTGGGTTTTTATTCAGATGAAACATGCCCTGAATCTCAGAGGGTAGAAAGGCACACAGGATTTTTATGTTTACTCTGAGGGCACAGTTTTGCAAAGCACAGTAACTAATGCAGACTAGGTTATGCCTCTCTCCTTTAAAACTTGGAATTCCATTTCTGAGCCTTTACCATGGACTGTGATGTTAGGCAATCCCTAATTTAATGAGCAAAACCAAAAACGCTTGCCTTTTATACTTTCAAACTAAAACATACCAGTGCTCAAATATATGATTTTTTCCCCTGGAAATAAACACTAAAGTTAATGAAATAATTAGAAGCAATACCTCTTCTTTTAATTTTGTTTTCTATCAAATGCATAAACTATGAACAAGTCTATATTCCTTCTACATTTTAAACTCAGTTTTATAGCTTTAAATTGAGATTTCATTATTTTTCTCCTAGTATCTTTAAAGGTCCGGTGACTCCTTGTTCATTTCCTTCTTATCTCCCTTCCTGTCAGACTTCTCCCTGTCTCCTTTAAGTGACACTTAATTTTATTTGTATTAACCCATAACTTGTCAAGGCAGCTGTGAACTTAAGCCCCAGAATTAAATAAACAAAAATACCAATGGCTGTTTATTTATCTTAAAAATTCTTTATGGACCCAAATATGCCGATAAGTAGGAGGGTAAATAAAGACTAATCATAATGACCACGCACAGGTGTGTGACCACAGACAAGTGGCTCCAACTCCTGGGACATTTCTCTAAGAGGAGAGGCCCAATTGAGCTTCGTGACCTCAGTTTGTTTCATTGTAAAACTCCACAACAACCCTTCTGTGTCTCAGCATTCAACAGAACAGAGATGCTGAGTGCTAAAAGGAAAACCTGAACGCACAGCAAAATAGCTAAAGGAAAATTTTAAATGAAATTTAAAACTAAATGAAAAAATTTAAATAAAATTTTAAACTTGACAAAGGACACAATAATGGTATTACTGATGGGTTTACATACTTATAGAAAAATAGTCAGATAAAAATCAAACGTAAATATCATCTAACTAAGAGTACTAGGGTTTATTTTCAACTGAGACACAGCTCATCAAGATATATTTTTACAAACTCGATTTAATTTAGGGAACCATTGTCTCCTTGCCTATCTCACCCCTCTAAGTGCTCTACAGTGTGAGTTTAAAATGCAGTTTTCTCCTTTGTGTACTTCTTAAATCTCTGTATTTGGTGCTCAGTCATTGCTCAAAGTCCTCTGTTGTTTTCTCCAAGTTGTCAGAGAAGAATCTATACTTTAGATTATGGTGTGCTCAGAGACCCCCAAATCAGATGCACATAGCAGCAACATATACAGCAATTTTCTCCCCCTCTTCACCAGGAAATTATCTGTTTAAGAGGTTCAATGATGAAGACACAACTATCTCTAGGGCTTGGGTAGCAAATAAGGCAAGTGCTTAACTTATTTGAGAATCACATTAACTATTTTTCTTTGTAATAGGGCTATGTGTAAGAATAAACTATACATGCTTTCTTAAAGAAATGGCTCTATCCTCTATCAATTATGAAAAACCTGACAGCTTGCTGCGGTTCTGTCCCTTGAACACTGAGAGGTGTACAGTGTTGGGGCCAGGAGTCAGTCACTCCTGGGCACCTCCCCTGCCTCCAGTCCTGCAGTATCCATCCTGGAGGCTAATTAAACTGCCTTCATTCTAGAATAGGACAGGAAAAAAAGCACAAAAAGGAGTTGTAAGCATTTCATGGAGTGTCAAGTATACAAGCAATGCTAGTAGCATTTACCATTCTACTCACCAAATCCATACCTTGGCTTATGAAACAGAAGTGGGAGAACAGGACCCAGATCTTCCAGAGCTGATCATCGTACCTCTGAGGATCACACACAGTGTTTCCCACGGACTCACCCCCGCCTTGCCCACACTCCCTACCACACACAGCCATGGCGACATCAACACAGCCTGGGGCTGATGGAGAATTCGTTTCTTCTTCTGAACACTAATTTTAAGATTCATATCGATTTCTCTCTTTTCCTCTCCCTGCCTTCTTTACTACTCCTTAAAGATTTAAAACCATAATAAAAGGCTGAAAGCCTGAACAGGAGCACTTGTACATCCATTTAACGGATGGCTTAATTCTCCTGAGGATTTACAAACAAGTTTGTATCATAAGCCTGAAAAGCAGGTGGGCAGGCCTTCCCCCAAAAGGGACACAAAGCGTGCTTCCTACCAGAGGGCAGCCTTTCTTCCAGTTAGCTTTAAAGACTACAGTATTATCCCTCCCCCAAACAGGCAGAAGTGTTGATTCCAAGTTGCCCTTCATGAATTAGCAGAAAGGAACACATAGTAAGTTACACCTGCCTTTGAGATCATCAAATGTGATTTTCAATATTTCAGTCATGTAAAAGAAATAACTGGGCTTGAATTCACATAGATCATTGAAAACCTAAATGCAGATCTCACTAGTCTCTCCTTAGCTTTTTTTTTTTTTTTTTAACTAAGATTTGACAAGTTACAGCTCAGGACAGAGAGCCTGACTTACTGAAAACATACCAAGCACAAGTACCACCCACTTCCTTCCTTCCAAACAAGAAGCACTTACTAAATGCTTAATAACAAAATGCTCACAGATCTGTTTTCCATATTTTGTTCATTTCTCGCTCTGTATTTTGCTTACATAAAAGTATTTTTGAAAATATTAAATTCTGAATACCATATGAGACATAAATAACAAAAGAATCAATAGCAAAGCCTTCTATTTTAGATATTCTGGAAGGCATATTTATACAAACAACTTTGACATTCTGATAAATCAATTTTAAAACATACTCAAAATGCATCAATATACGCCCAGTTCTCTCTCCAAGCCAAGTGGCTGCCTTTCCTCATTTTAGGAATACAATTTAAGACAGTGATAAGAGTACAATTAAATGAGAGGAAGACCGTTTTAACCTTTGACCTACCTCACAGAACATATAGAGAGACAGCAACGTGAGTCCGAGGTTATACACCACTAAAATACCCCGGCATGAGAATGGCTGTCTATTTCTCATATATTTTGGTCCCAGCCATACGATTAGTAAATATATGACAGTGCAGATAAATGTAGGTATATAGTTGTCCAGAAGAAACCATCCTTTTACTCTGGTATCTAAAAAATAATAAAAGACAAATATTAGTGCTATATAAAGATAATCCCAACTTTTCAAACATTAAAAAAAAGTTCTGTAACTAGTATTACTGCTCCTAATTCCAACAAAGCAACCACAAGAGAAGGCACAAATTTCCAACACACATCAAATAGGAAGATGCTCCTTGCTACATGTTCTAAACCACAATGTATATTATTCATGGCTTTTGATAAGTAAAATTATCATAATAAAATAATTCAAAGAATTTTAAAAACAAAGAGAAAGCTACACTTCCCATTCACTGGATTTATTAGCCAGATCTGTTGGATTAATGAAACCCCAAATGGCTGTCGGCAAACTCTGAAGTCCTCCACCTCTGCCAAGTGTCAGCAAGTCTGTCCAGTACATGCATACCCAGGACGTGTGCCACTTTGCCAGGACAGTGACACTGTCATTGATGAGACAGAGTGGCATCTGCTGCAAGTGTCATGGTCGACAGCAGAGGAAACAATTATTAAAAAACAAAAGAAGGTGAAGCAGCAGTGGTGAAATAGGTGCCTGGTTAGGGTCCTGTATTTAAGGAATTTTGTGAAGAGTAGTAGTTTGAAGGAGACGACCTACGTTGACTCAAGGGAGCTGCTGGTACAGGAAAGACCCCACCAATCCCTATCTTCTTTCTTGGGCAGGGAGGAGGAGGCAAGAGAGAGGAAAATAGATCCAGGAGTTGCCAGTAGCCAATGGACAGGCATCCTGGGATGGCGGTGAACTCCCTGGCAGCCAGAACCCTTTGGTGCCTTCTGCCCCCAAAAGGATTCAAGATCTTCCCCTGGCTGAGCTCCTGGAAGCTGCGTCAGCTGCACGTTCCCCTATGCATTTTGTTATGACAATTTCCCCAAACCTGAGGCTCCTCAGTCTTATCTCCCCACAAGGCCCCCAACTTCGGAGCTCAGAGGCAGATGCAGGACTCAACTCCTGTGTCTTTGGAGAAGCGGGTGCTAGTGGGGACAGCCTCTGCCCTCTTGGACCTTGTAGCTGGACCATCTTGCTACTCTCTGCGATATGTTCCCCCTGATCTCCTGGGACAAGGTTCAATAAAGCCTATGTCCAATTGGGAAACTGTCAGTCTTCCTTTCTTGCAGACACTGTCAACATCTCCAGACTTTCTCTCATGGCTTGCTTTCTTTGGCTTCAGGAGGCGATGCCCTCCATATCCTCCCCCACTAGTTATGCTTGGGTGGTGGAGGGTGTTACTGTCAGTTCTGAGAAACTGGTAGTTCACAGAAGTCCTTCAGGGAAGTGGCTGGCCCCAGAGACTGTAACCAGGGTATTCTTAACACCTTTTGTTCTCAGCTCTGGGCCTTGGTCTCCAATTCTGAGAAAACAAGTTCCCACTTAGCAACTAACATGAGACTATCACATGTTTTGTAACAAATACATATGTCACAAATAACAATAAATGCGTGTGCGTGCGCGCACACACACACACACACACACACACACACACACACA